TGAGATGAATGCAATTATACGTACCTGGTTTACTCTAAAAAAAAGAGCTGGCCTCTGATGTACCATCTGGGTGATGTCAGGCTTGTCGTTGACAACTTTTCTGTGAAGAGCAAACATTAAAGTTACAGTCTTTATAAGTGCACCTGACTAAAGGGTTTACATTTAATTGTGCAGCGTGCCAGTCAATAAAGTGATCCTCCTCAGAACAGATCTCCGTTAACTCACATGGCATACTGCTGATCTGGAGTTTTGGTGTGAAGGTGGCATAAGTGTACATTTTTGGGGCATAAAGTGATTTAAATGTATGTACATGCCTGATGTCAACAAGGACATTGTTCCGATCTTGAATATCTTCCATGTTTGAACATAGAGACGTGGTTTCACAGACAGGGCTTAGCTTAGCAATGTCAGGACTAGGCCTAAGTTAAATTAGGATATTTAAATAACTTTTATAAAAATGCCTCTAGAACATTACTGGTGTGCATCTTGAGACAAGACAATGGCAGTGACATATTAAGTAGGGGTGCTCCGATTGATCGGCTACCTATCACTATCGGCCGATAATCACATACGCACCTTCATATTTCTTCATTAAATAACTCAAAGTAATTTGAAAACCTTGTGTGAGACGTAATTTCACAAACAGCGTGAGTGAATCACCGCGCGCGCTCTCTCCGTCTCTCTCTCAAAATACGCAAATGGCTTCAAATCACCACATGGCGTCTATCTATAAGCGAGCTGCACGCTGCACAGTTGACACAGGAATTGTCACTTGCACAATAGAGGCAGTCACATCGTCACTTAAGTTAATAAATTGCATTACTTTTTAATTCTTGCCTGTGTTTAACCATTCAGCGCCCGCGCGCTCTCCTGATGCACACTCGCAGCGCACACACATAATGCCAGGTTCACATTACTCCGTTTGCAGTGCGTATGTGGTGCGTATTTTTTTCATGTTAATGGATTAATAAAGCGTGCACACTGCGCACGGTTGCGGTCCAGCAGTGCGTTCCAGGAACGGTGCGTCTGCAGCAGTGCAGAGATCGTTTCCACACAGAGTCTATGTTTGCTGCGCCGCAAGTGCTGAATTAAAGTAACAGCGCATTGTTTGCAGTAAATCCAAATACACAAAGTAATGTTCTTTTTAGCAACATCATATGACCCCTTTAAAAAGATTGGTGTCGGTGATCGGTATCGGCAGATACTGCTTTCTGTGATCGGTCTCAAAAATCCTGATCGGAGCACCCCTAATTTTGAGATGTCTTTACAGGTTATTTTCAGTTAAGACAGCTTAAACATGCAATTTAGTCTGGGATTAGCCTTAAGTCTTGTCTGTGAGACCGGGGGGATAATGTTTAAATAGCTGTGCTCTCTCTTATCAGTTATGAGGGCCATACTTACACTTCCAAAGCATTTCTTCCATTTCTTCTTCCTTCCAACACAAAATAGTCGTTCAGAGGGCTGGCTCTGAACCTAGATAGAACAGAAGTATATTCATCCGTTTTTGCATTTCTACTGTTAATTAACTTAAACTTAACCTTAACTTAATAAACAATAGCCATTTTTAAATTAAACGTGGTAAATTATTGCACTCACCATATTAGCACCACCATCGTCTCTCCTCTGCTGGAAGCACGGCTGCTGTACCAGTAAAATGAAATTTACACTCCTCACAAACAACAGCTCCTCGAGTGAAAAATAAATCACACAAAAGAAGAGGCGAAAAAAATGTCAGTCGAACCAAAGTCCCTCGGTGGTCCGGGGTTCAAGCGCGGTTATGTCCGTAGCAGACGAGTGAGAAAACTAGCTAGCTAACGGATGAGAAATGTCCCGTAGTTTAGACAAATAACATTTTTCGCTGATCGCAAACAGTCTCGCGATGGAAAGAAAGACACGATAAAAGCTAAATGGCAGAAAAGAACTTCCAGAGAACTATCCAACTTCTCATCCACAGCTCCTTGAAATCACACGTTCCTTCACAGTGACAAAATGGCGTCGTTACCTGATTCGCTGCACCAGTGTGGGGGAGGCGTGGTCAGGAGATAAACTAAATAATATGAGTTAATTGAACTTAAATTTATTCATAGGTTCAAATATGTCTACAAATCAGTAGAGTCTACTTATAGGATATAAGTAAAGCAGTCAAACTTCAATATTTAAGTATATTGTAATTAAATTGTTTAATTAGACACAAAATCCGGGCTTACAGCGAGTGTAGTCCAGAATTTCAAAAAAAAAAAAAAAAAATGTCATTTCATTCTTTGGTGAACTATCCCTTTAAGATCAATACAATGTTGAAAAAAAAAAGTGTAACATTAAAACAAGCTTATTTTGTAACCTTTAATTACAACATATTGTACTGAGTTCCATTATAACTAGTTCATCTTCACTTCTTTCTCAGTTGTCTTCTTCCAGGGCCTGTCCAGACGCTCAGTCTTGCTTTTCTTGGACATCCGTCGGTAGCGATTGATGGATGGGCGCGTCTGTCGTTCCTGAGGCTCCTTTGGCGAGCGCTCCTGCCATCCTTTCAACGCAATGAAGAGCAAGTGTGCTGTGACATTACTTCAGACCTCGCCTCCCTGATCATCCTACAGCTGATGATGAGAAAACCAGTAGCCAGGGTGCATAAATCTAAACAGAGCATCCTTTTTCTTGAGGGTGCGCATGTGTGTCTCTGTGTTGGTATATGTGTGTGAGGTTCTCTCTGCAGAGGGAAGAACTGGAGCTGGACCTCAGACCGAGAAGGCGGGACAGATGGGAAGTGAAACTTCATACATGCAGAGAAGGTTCCACAGGGACAACTTTGCTCTTGAATAATTGTCTTGTACGTTTTCCTCCCTCACTCCGTCTTGCTCTCTCTTTCTCTGCGCTCTGTTATTATGTTGTCTCTTCTCGTACAGAATAGCCACTCTGTCTACCTCGGCTGAAGACAGTCTGACAAAACAGTGCAGGGTAAGGGATGAAGTTTACAGTTCTTCATTGGACTTTTCACACTAACCATGGGTTGTCATCTTTTATAAATCCCACTTTTAACCCATTTTTCACACTTGTAATTTTAAAAGGGAACATTTAACCCTGGATTATGAAATTTTTCTCCAGAGTTAAACATTTTACACAAAAATGAAAATTGTCAACATTCACTCACTCTCATGTTGTTTCGAACCTGTATGACTTACCGTTTTTCAAGTGGAACACATAAGAAGACGTTTTGAAGAATGTTTCTGTTCATACAATGAAAGTCAGTAGGGTCAATCAACACTGGACCCCATTTACTTTCACTGTATGGGAAATGAAAAAAAAACAAAAACTACAGTTTTTCTTCAAAATATCATCTTCTTACTAAAGTCATACAGGTTTGGATCAACATGAGGGTAAGTTAATGATCACTGAATTTTCATTTTTGAGAACTATCCCAGTAGTAAAGGGGAGATGTGATCACTATGCTTGCTATGTTAAATATTCATGTGCTTTGTACAATTACATAAACTTATTTCGTTTGAAGGCTTTTGAAGGCAAAAATCTAACTATCAAACAGTGACAGAAACCTGTTAATTTGACTTATGGTCCGAAAAGTATATTCAAACTTGAATGGTACAGTCAAGAGTATATGATCCCAACGGTTATGCAAGCTGTTATAAAAACAGGTTTGGTACTGTGTTCGTCCAATCAATGATAATGAGACTATGCATAATAATAACAACATTAACCTATTCCTTTGAATTTTTAGCAGCCATTATAGTTGTCATGACAGAAATATTTTTACTGACCCCAAAATTTTAAATGGTACCTTTTGATCTCTAAACACATTCACTGTACACACAGCACAGCTGGACTGGTAAATGGCCAGTTTTGCATTGTGCTCCAGTCATCATATGATTCCAGTAGGCCTGAGGAAATGAGCTTAATGACTTAAATATAGGCGAAGAAACTCAGCCTGTGGTACATAGTTTCAGTCCCACACAGTTTGAGCCTTTTAGTTTAATTAACCTTCATTTCCCTCCATTTCATAATTGGATTGAAGCAGCGAGACACTGGAAGATTTCCTGCTCCATTTATGGCCAATACCAAACAAATGGACACACAAAGACACACACACACACTTATTTGTACCATCAGTGTTCATGAGCTGAGAGCCTTTGCACCACATCTTAACCTTATTCGCTGTAGAGCTCATTTCTCGCCATTACGCCAGTCTCCTGTCATCGCCTCTCTCCAAATAATCTAGACTTTTTCCAGGTTTCAGTGGTGGTGCTTCCACCTGTACTTGTCTGGGGGCTCATGTGGTTAAACCCTCTTCACCTTTTCCCCTCTCCTTTTCTTTCCTTTGGATATGGCAAGTCTAGAGTTGGATCCACTTGCCTTGTTCCTTCGTGAAGTCCTCAGAGAGTAGCGTTTTAATTAGACGTAAATGATTTCTGCAGCTGCCTGTCCTAAAGTGAGGCGGACTGGTATGTACTGGAAAGGTTAGTTTTATTAGCCGTAGAGGCTCCGGCAACTGGACAGACACATTTGTGTTGAAGACGTTGCAGAGACAGCCGTAGACTGGACTGTATGGCACGGCCATGCTATGCATCTACCACTGATTCCGGAACTTATAATTTCCCCAAACTAAACATTTAATGAAAAAGCCATTTGAAATTAGAACCAACCACTGCATTTTAATCACAATACAAACAAAGATACAAAGATAAAACCTGCATGAAACAAAAACAGACAGGCTGAATGAGAACGCAAATTCACTCTCTGACAGCAGGTGGTGGTTATGGATCAGCAATGATAAGAGGGGCAAAAATGCCATCGAAACATTTGTGAAGTCAGTTCCCTTCAGAAATACATTCATATAAACCCCAACCCCAATATTTATATTTTTCTTCTGAACAGTGAGCTTGCTGTACCTGTACAGTATTTTCTCTGTGCGCGTCTGTTAATGTTAGGCCATGCTTGCAAGAGATAAACCCTTGAGCTTTTATTTTGGCGGAAACTTCAGTTGAACTTTTATTTTGGCGGAAAACTCCAGCTTCTGTGAAAACAGGTTTACAAACATTACTAATTTAATGAAATACTGTAAACATTTGCAAATGTGCAAATTATGCATAACTGGTGGCCGTTGCGTTCCCAAACGCGCTAAACTCACAGCACATTCAATAACGGAGTTCACTGCATTCACTGTTAACGGAGCCGCTCTGAGACGTGGAAAACACCGGATCACGAGCCGATCGCATGCGCTGCGCAATGTGCGTGCTTCACTTTGAAACAAGCAGCGCAAACAGACTTGATATGTCATATTACGCTTTCGGTTTTAATTCGTTTGACCGATACTTGCCAAAGCAATGGTGTGAAACACAACGTTAAAGAACTTTTATGTTATAAGGTTTATTATGAAACTGTGGCGGGCCGCAGTAATCTCTTTACATTCTTTATGTAAAACTAGCAATTTTGAAATCACTAGGATCTTCAAATGCAACATTAAATTTACAGTGGCTCTTCTGAAACTCTCCACCTGGCAGAAATCCTCAAAGAGCAGGCATTGCCAGAAAAATACTGAAGCCTTTCTGTTATTCTAAAGAATTGCAACTGTCACCTCTCTGTGCATCTTCTACTTGCAGGACAAACAGAGAACCACGTGAAGAAAATCCTGCTGCTGCGTGTCACGTCTACTTCCCGGTACCACACACTGCGGCGGTTATTGCGCAGCACCGGGACTCGTACCACACCGCCAATCATAACAATATTCTGGGAGAGCAGTGAAAGAGAGAAAAAATCTGAGGCAGAATGAGATATAAATACCATCAGACTGTCACATTGTTGGAATACTTGAGGAGAGAGTGATCGAGAGAGAGTAACAAAGAGCAAGAAAGAGGAAGCACAGCAGGGGAGCAGGTTAGATGTATTCTAATCGTTTTCCCTGGCCTTCTCGAGCCCTGCTCCAGTAGACTGTTTGTTTAACTTCAAGTTTGCATGATTATAATGATATAATTAGGTGGGTTGACAAGTGCTGGCAAACACACAATAATAACGCCTCCTGGAATATCGGGTTCGGTTCTGAGACCCTGGAGGTTGGGGGGTCTGGCTTGCTCCCTGCATTCAAAACTGTCCCCTTGTCCGCTGAGGTAAATCTGTCAAAGCAAAAATCCACAAGCATTATTTTGCTCTTACCTCCGGAGGCACATTTTTCCGTGGAGCTAAAACAATACACAACAGATTTATCAGGCAGTTCATCTGCATATTTTGACTGGTAAAATGCTGAGCACATAATAAACACGGCCGTCTGAAGCAATAACTGGAAAATCCATAGATCCAGTACATCTAGCCTATTCATTCCTGTCTCCCTATATTCTCAAGTGTGATCCTATTCTGCTCTGTGTCTTTTCCCCTTTCACCCCCTACCCGTCTCAGGACCCCACCGGCCTGCCCTTCTCACTGCCTGTAACTCAACCACTTATTTTCGTTTGCTCTGAAAGAGCTGATGACCTTGGAGAACTCTGTAAAGGCTGCCAGTAAAACACTGAAGGATTACCGGTATGTAACTTTGCATTCATGTGGTTTGTTTGAATAACCTCGCACCACGGAGCAGAGCACAATATATTACATTTTACGAGCTTCAGAAATGCACCATCTCTGGCCCTACGGTCAATTATCCACAAATAGAATCACAGCCTGTCTCTCTTTCTCGGCCTGTCTCCCCATTTCTCTTATTCGCTGCTCCATTTTAAGCTAAAACTGCATTCCTGGATTCATTTAATCTGGTATTCCGGCAAATGCTTGGACTGGACACCTTACACGTCTCCATAAATCACTTTGACAAATAGACGTAGAGTTAGCTTAGAAAAATGACACCTTCTGTCATGGTTCTCCTTCCAGCTGCTCTACATGATATGTGATATTACCTTATAAAGTTGTGAACCTGCAGTTTGTCCTTTTCAATTCATATAAATGGTGTTGTCTAGAGCAGGTGAACTTTGGTGAACCCCGAAAGAATTCAAGTTCACTGCATGGAGACAATGTGGCCATCTGGCATGTTGCGGATAATCATATACATTTCACCCTAAAAAGACCTCTCCACATTTCATTGTGAAGCCAGCTCAGATTATGGACTGAACCTTTGCTCCATTCGTGCTTTCGCTATTGTACCGCTGATTAGACGGACCTCAAAAATGATGAGCTGATGGACACTGGATGTACAACAAGTATCTGCGAGAAGCATAAAAGTCAAAAGAAACCAAGACAAACCAAGCTATTCTCAAGGTTAGAGCTTCCACGTTTTTAATGGTTACTGTGGAAGTAACGGGGATGTGCAGAAAGGATCGAGTAGCTTGTCAGAATTGTCTGTGGAATGTTGTACGAAAGAACTTGTACAAGTATAGACATCTATTCATCAATCCAATTCAATAAATAATAAAAACCTCTGGGTTTTAACTCACCAATAAATGATCAAGCCGAGTTTCAGATCTTAGAATGGTTCTACCTGGTCATCGGATGCAAAATTCACTTTTGTTGTTGTTTGAACATAGTTGATTGACAGTAGCGTTTCAGCACAGACTGGACTGGTGTCTTACCTTACCGTGCGTTCACACCGCCGCCGTCGAGAGCGTCAAAGTGGCCAGAAGTCATTCATTTTCAATGTGAGCCGGCATCGAGCAGTGGCGCGGCGCGCGACTTGGACGTTGAGGGCGTCGAGGAGAGTTGAAATCAGGTCAACTTTATGGTAATGAGCTATGACGCAGTGCGGCGGCAACCAATCAGAATGTAGAAGTTCTCCGCTTGAGAGGATTCAGGAGAACGCAGTCCTGTAAACTTTAGTTCCGACCACATTAGTTCCCAAGCATTTTCACGCTAGAACGCTTGTTTTTCAGCACGAATGCAATTCATTTGCTCAAAACAACACCGATTTGACCAATTGCATTTAGGCTACAATTTGTACAACCAGGACAGTTTGTAATGTAGGCTGCACACAAATTAATGTTAATGTTAATTAAAGACCAAGGCTAGTAAACGTCTCCTATAAACTGCATGTTGAAATTAGACTAGCACTTAACCATGAACACAAAAGCCACACCACACAAATGGCTTTTATTTTGTTAGCAAATGTAACTATAATTGTTAAGTTCTTTCCATCGATCAATTTCTTACTTTCACATTTAAAATATTTCATGAGGTTAACTTATACCCTACTTGTGGTCAGTCTGCACAAGATCAACAAGCATGTTTGCTTTGCGACCCCTTTAAATACAAGATAAGCATTCGATCTACGTCAGAGCGTCCAC